GCTCTCTTGACACTAGTACTTCCATCTTGGCTGCCGTCTGTACCTCAGAGGGAAAGATCTGGGCTCAGTCATTTGAGGACACAACCCGGGCCCCAAGCACCGTCTATACACTTCGGAAATGCCAGCCGTGCCGATCCCCGTCACCTCCTCCAGGCTGCCCTGGGACCCTGGCAGGGAGATCAGGGGCAGCTTAGCCCAGTCTTCAGCCATTCAGGCAGATACGCTGAGTCCAGCCCACGAGCCACGTGTGGGCCCTTCAGCCCTTGGGGCTGTTCTCTGGGGACCCAAAACACTGACAGCAGCCCCTCACGGCAAAATGAGCAGAAATGCACGCCTTGCCTCACAGAGACCCGTTTGCTGGGAATTTGACGCCCCACCGGCCACAGAGGCCTTCTCTGGGGGGGGGGGGGGGAGGCAACCCAGACCCCAGGGCAGCCCACCATGGAAGCTGCAGCTTCCAGAGAATCCTCTTCCTCCTGGAAGAAAGACCAGAAGCCACATCAGCCCAGTCCAGGGGTGAGGACGGACCAACACCATGGCCCTGGGGAGAAGACCACCAACACCCCCAGTTCACACCCCACACACTATTTCCTGGGGCTGCCTGAGGGCGCTGGGTCCAGAGAGCCTGGGGGTTCGTCAGAGCTGCCCCCTATTCTCTGTGCTCTGGGTTAGAGACAGGGGCACTTCAGAGCAAGGGGCATCCTTACAGAACCAGGGGCCAGCCCGGACACCCACCGTCTGTCAGTAGAGCCCCAGGCCAGCCAGTTTCTCTCTCTCTCTCTCTCACACACACACACACACACACGCGCGCACACACACACACACCATGCCGTGTGCATGACTGGGAAACGGGACTCACCAAATGTGTTGGTAGCACAGGGCTTAAGGGGTCTCGGAGCAGATCGGGCCCATGGTGGGAAGGGGGCAAAGAGCTCAGCTCCTGTCCTGGGAATCAACCTTCCGCAGAAGGGGACGGCCCCAGAGCCCCATGTGACACCAACTCCAGAGTGCGGGGACCCCTCAGGTCACCTTCATTTTTTTAAATTAATTTATTATTGAATCACCATGAGAAAAGTTACAAAACTTTCAGGTTTAAGTCTCGGTCATACAATGATCAAACACCCGTCCCTTCACCAGTGCACATTTTCCACCACCCAGAACCCCAATATACCCCCCAACCCACCTCTCCCGATGCCTGGGAGGCAGATGATTTCTACTTAACTCTTTCTCTACTTTGATTACATTCTTTCAACAAAAGATGCACCATTATTATTTGGAATCCCCCCCACTCAACAATCAGACCTGCTGAAAAGGCATTGTGAAAGAATTTGTTTTCTATTGCTGGTTATGAAGACCATCTGATTTTGGATTTCTGATATTTTACTAATTAAGTCTGGAGGGATTTCTGCCAAAAGGCATATAGTTTAGTTATTTTTTTCCTTTTTGGGTCACACCCAGCAATACTCAGGGGTTCCTCCTGGCTTTGCACTCAGGAATTACTCCTGGCAGTGCTCAGGGGACCATAAGTGATGCCCGGGATCGAACCCCAGTCGGCCGCGTGCAAGGCAAATGCCCTACCCACTGTGCTATTGCTCCGACCCCCAAAGCCGTAAAGTTACGAGATGGGTTTTTGTGCCTCTGGGGCCATGGCCGTGCTGGAGAGCCACTCAAGGGGGCCAACTCTCGGCCTTGGTGAGGCGGGAAGCTCACTTTCAGTTTTGATATTTCTTCAGAAGGAAATGTGCTCGCGGTAATGCCTCATTACGATGGGTGTAAAATAAATCAGGTGAGGGGAGATTTGAGGGACAGAGTCCAGGAAACCCCACTCAGGGCTGAGGATTGCCAGCAGGCAGCTCCCAAGCACCTTGAGCCCACAGTTTTTCTTGGGGTGCCCTCACCTGGTCGCCTGTCCAGGGGCTGCTTGTGTTGAACTGACACCTCCTGGCCCTATGCCTGTGCCTTCTCTGGGGGGACAACCCAGACCCCAGGGGAACAAGGCTTCTCTGGTCACACAGTACATTCCAGGGATGCCTCATCCACGCACCTTCCGGCCCCAGGCCAAACCCCTTCGAGGAAGGTTAATTTTTCAGCCAAATTGATTTTGCTTCTGGCTTCTTTCCATACTAAGTGACAATCCCATAACGACCCTTCGTCTTTGGGATAAGAACTCAGGACAGTGCATTCCTTTCGCCTTACTAGGAAGTACTCACCCTCGGCAAGAGTGACTTTCGCGTGTGTCCCCATGACATACACGGTGGGTTTCTGGGTGAGCTGCGGGATCCGGCTGTGCCTGGCCCTCTTTCTAGCATTTTCCCTAGCTTGGGGATCCCTGGATCCCTAAGGCGATGGCGGTTTGGGTGATGCTGCTGTCTCTCTAGCTTAAATGTACTGATTTCAAAGGTACTGGAAGAGAAAATAAACCCATGCGGTTCATGAATTCAAATGATTATCATTAATTAAAAGCAACCAAGCACCTGTTTCTCAAAGCTTCCACCATGTATTAGAATGAGATCTTCTCATTACAAAAATAAAATCAATAGAAAGTCATTTTCCTGCTAGCTTGGAGGATGCAAATGTGTTTATGTGTTTTCTCATTTGATAGTCTGGTAATCAATCTACCAGGCAATACTGAAACTATTAAGAGTAAGTGAGTTTGAAGTTCTCTTACCCAATACCAGGAAATCTTGATTTTACTCTCCAGATCTGCCATTGCCTGCTCTCTCTCTCTCTCTCTCTCACACACACACACACAAAGCACACACACACATGCACACATACACACACGCACACACACAAGTGATCTTGGGCCAGTCATCGGAACTCTCTGGTTCTGCATCTTTTGCTAGAAGATAAAATTGCAAGAGCAGATTACTTTCAAATTTCCTTCTCAAATTCTTTTTCATAATAAAGTAACAGTTTTTTTAGATAAGAGCTCTGGAAGGCCAAGGACGGAACCGAAATGGGAGCTGCCGCTTCTACAATTGCCCTTTATAACCCAAAGGAAGAAATAGACAATTTTGTGATTAAAATATTTTAAATAACTAAATATTTCTTCAAATATACCATAAATTCCTAAACAGACACTTGGAGAGCACATCCTAAGTGCCCACCGGGCGGGTCTAAATCTTTGGGGCATTTATCGGTCATTTAGAAAGAATTCTGAGCAAAACGTTGGTGAGATGGAGGTTTTGGTACCAGCTGAAGCCCTGAACAGAATGGAAAATAGAACATGGGGAATTTAGCTTAAGGTTAGATGCCTTCAGAACTCTGTGACTTTCTAAACTGATTTTATAATTAGGAGGATATTTTTAGCTTATTTTTCCTTCGGAAGGTTTTATTATACTCATCTTAATATATGTAATTTCTCTCGAATATTTTCCAATTGGGGGGGAAAAAAAGAATTTTCCCCCCTCAGCACAGCCAGTGTGGAACTCCTAAGCCTGCATTTAGCCTTCCTTCCTGGAGGGGTGGGGGAGCACCGGGCAGAGAGGGGGGTCGGGGCAGGGGGGCGATGGGGGAGTTCTTCCCCCCCCCCCCAACTGGCGCTGGCTGGATGAGTCAGGAGGAGCCCAGCGACTCCCCAGGAGAATTCCAGGGCCAGACACTGCTGCTGGAGACACCACGGGGGACCGCACCCCGCCCCTGCCCACCCCCTCACCGCATCTTAGAAAGGAGGGACTTTGCCAAGGGGTGGGTGGAGGTGTGGGGGGAGGAGCGAGGGGGAGGAGGGGCAGGTAAAGGAGTGGTGGCCAACAGGAAGCTGGCGGGGGAGGGATCCCCGCTGGAGTGCAGGGGGGAGGGTGGGTCCCTTATAGCACAGCGGGTAGGGCGTCTGCCAACCGGGTTCGATTCCCAGCATCCCATATGGTCCCCTGAGCACCGCCAGGAGCAATTCCTGAGTGCATGAACCAGGAGTAACTCCTGTGCATCGCTGGGTGTGACCCAAAAAGCAAAAAAAAAATAATAATAATAATAAAAAAAATAAAATAAAAAAATAAAAGGCAACAGGGGGAAGGATGGACAGGGGGAAGGAGGGGCAGACCCCAAGCGGCATGGGACTTCGGGGAGCCCATGGTCGGGGGGCTCTCTCGGCTTGCTGAAGACGTGCAGGCCTTGCTGCGGGGGTGCAAGGGACCGGAGAGAAGTGTGGGTCCCCGCAGACGCTGCAGAGAGGGAAGAAAGGGGCGCGGGTCCTCCCGCCCTCGGGACCCCTCCCCGGCGGGTAACGAGGCCCAAGTGGCAGCTTTTCTGGGGCTGGATTCGCGGAGGCCACAGGTGTGCCCCGTTCCGCGGCGCGTCAGCGACCCCTGCCCCTAGGAGCATCTGCAGGAAACCCACGGACCCGGGTCGTCGGACACACGCCTGGGGTGGGACGCGCAGAATCTCGCGCTGTGCTCCTCCGCGCCCCCGCCGGGCACCCGCGCGCCCAGCACCCGGGCAGCTGGACCCAGCCGCTTCCCACGGGCTGCGACGCCCCCCTCGGCCCCCTCGGCCCTGGCGACCTGTCCCCCACCCGCGTCACCCCCGCCACACCCGGGCTGCGAGCTCGGGACCCCGCCGAGGAGCGAGCGGCAACTTCCCCAGGCCCCGCAGGCGCGCGCGCGGGCTCGGGTGCAGGTGCGGGGGCGCCGGGTCGCCCCCTTCTCTGCTCTCCCGCATCCCCAGCCCCAGCCCCGGGCCCGGGGCGGACCGAGCAGGCCTCCCGGGCCGGGGTCCGAGCCGCAGGGGCGGGCGCGCGGGGCGCGGGGCTCGGCTCGGGCTGCGGTGGTGGGCGCGCGGGGCGCGGGGCGCGGGGTCACGTCGCGGGGCCCGTCCAGGTCCGCCGGGCGGGCCGCGAGGCTGCGGGGGCGGCGCCCGCCCAGGCCCGGGACCCGCGCACCGCTCCCGCCCGCGCCCCGGCCTCGCCCCCGCCGCGCCCCGCCCGCCGCGCGTTACCCCGGCAACCCCGAGCCTCGGGCGCGCGCCCAGCCCGCGGGAGCGCTCGGCGGCGGCGGCGGCGGCGGCGGCGGCAGCGGCAGCTCGGGCTCCCCGCGCGCTGCGACCCCCCGGCCCCGGCCCCGCCCGGCCCCGCGCCCGCCCCCATGGAGCTGCTGGCCGCCGCCTTCAGCGCCGCCTGCGCCGTGGACCACGACAGCTCCACCTCGGAGAGCGACACGCGCGACTCGGCGGGACACCTGCCCGGCAGGTGAGCCGGGCGGCCGGGCGCCCCGCCGGGGTGGGGGGGACCCCGGCCCGGGACCCCGATCGGCCCGGCCCCGCACGGCGCGGCGCGTCCCCCGCGCCCCCGGCCCCCACGCCCCCGACCGGCCGCCCCCCGCGGCCTCCCCGGGCCCCCCAGCGCGCGCGCATCCCCCGGCCGTGCGGCGCGTCGGGGCCCCGCGCGGATGCGGGGCGCACGGCGGGCTGCGCGCCCCGGGACCCGGCCCGTCGGGGCGGCCGGTCGGCGCCGCGCCTCGGCCCGGGCGCGCCAAGTTTCCGACGCCGGCCCGCGAGCTCCGAAAACAGGCCGGCCTGGGCGGGCTGCGGGGGGATGAATCACCCGGTCGCGCCCCGGCCGGTGACAAGAAGGGTCCTGTGGGGCCCGGGCGGCGAGGTGCGCGGCGGCGGCGCACGGCTGAGCGCGCCCCGCTCCTCCTCCTCTCCCGCAGCGAGTCGTCGTCCACCCCGGGAAATGGGACCACGCCCGAGGAGTGCCCCGCGCTCGCCGACAGCCCCACCACGCTCACCGAAGCCCTGCAAATGATTCACCCCATCCCCGCCGACTCCTGGAGAATCCTCATCGAGCAGATAGGTGGGTGTCCCCGCCGTGGGGGCTCCCGGGGCGCGCCCCGGCGCGGCCCACGCCCGCCCCCTCGTTGCGCCCTCCCGGTGCGCCCGCCCGGGCAGGCGCCGGGCGTCACCGCTTTGGCCCCCCCCGCCCCAGCCCCCGCGCGTCCACCCTGCCCTTTCCTGGGGACGACCCCCGTGCCACTCCTGCCCGAACCAGGGCGCATCCCGGGCGGTCGAGGGACGTCCCCGGCGGGTTGCCTGGGAGACCAGGAGGGGGCTTCGGGGGCTGGGACCGCCTTGGCACAGCACCGGGAGAGCTCCCGGGTCCGCGGGTGAGTCTGCCAGGCGGGGGACCCCCTCCCGGAGGTGCCGCGGGCCTGCTTTTAAGGGTGCTGTGATGTCACACGGCCTGGGGTCTCCGTTCCCGGGCCACGTGGCGGCCGTCTGAGGGAGGGGCGGCCGCCGAGCTGGCTGCGCACCCCGTGGGGTGGGTTTCGGCGCCCAGACAGCTGGGCAGGGGTTCCCACGCGGGCAGGGAGAGCCTGCGTGGGGGTGCGGGTGGCCCTGTCCCCGCTACAGGCCCGCTGAGCCTCGTGCGGAGCTGAGGGGGTGTACTGCACACTGCGTGCTGCTGTCGGTTCCCAGAGGGCCCCTTGCGCGGCGGGCTGCGGGGTGGGGGGCTCGCTCCCTTTGTGTGCTGCCAGAGGGGTGGATCAGAGAACAAAGACTCCTGGAAGCCCCTTCTCCCACCTCTGAGCCCCCCCCCCCATCCCCAGAGCATCCTCAGGACGCTGCTGCTCCCTCAGCGGCTGAAAGCACCAGAGAGGAAGAAAATGGGTTGGGGGGGGGGGGGGTGTGCTGTGCTTTGTCTCTGGAGACAGCTCTGTCCGGGGCAAGGGGCCCCATGCCCGAGCCCCTGCCCTCTCCACCCTCCATTTTCCTCCTCTGGTGGTGTGCGGTGCACCTGCTGGTCTCTGTCACCAGCCCCGTGAGCATCTGCTGGCACCATTGGCAGCCCAGGGCCTTCCCTGCGTGCCAGTGCTCAGCTATGGGGGGACTGACTGACAGCCTCCGCCGGGGCCCCCGGACCCACCATCCCCACACACCCTCCCCACGGCAGCTGCACGCGCCCTGCTCTCTGCAAGCCAGGCACTCGTGCCGGGCCCCTCAGACTGAAGTGGATGCTGAATCCGGGGGTTTCCCAGACCACCCCACCGGTGTCAGCTGCTGCTCCCGGGATGCTGGAACGGAATGATGTGCAGGAAGCAACCATGTGGCTGTGATGGCATGTGTGCATGTGTGTGCGCGTGTGTGTGTGCATGCATGTGTGTGCATGTGTGTGTACATGTGTGTGCGTGCGTGTGTGTGCACGAGAATGTGTATGTGTGAGCATGTGTGCATGTGTGTGCGTGTGTGTGTACACGTGTGTGCATGTGTGTGTGTGCGCGTGCGTGTGTGTGCACTGTTACAGGGACACCGACACGTAGACCCTGGGCCCCTGGAGCAGGGAGAGTGCCCGTGTCTGGACGTGGGTGCAAATGCTTGTTACTGTCTCCAACACCTAACAAACGCTTGGCACAAAGAAGGTGCTCACGAAAAAGGAAGTGAATTCCCTACCTTTTAAAAGTTCCTATTGGAGAGCGGAAAAGACAGTACAGGGGTGAAGGTGCTGAGCTTGGGTGGTCCCCGTGTACCACCAGGAGTGACCCTGAGCCAGAGTAAGTTCTGAGTATGGCTTGGGTGGGCGCCTCACCCCCCCCCCCAACTGTTATTCGTTGGGAGGATAAAGGGAAATGACTCTCTTCAGAAACGAAGGGGTTTTTGTTTGTCCGTTTGTTTCTAGTGAAGCCAGTTCGTTTTTATTGAGCAAAACTTCCTTAAGAAAGATGCAGGGGCTGGGGGTGAAGGGCGAAGGATTCTGTGTTCAAGAGAGAACACACGCCTGAGGAAGCCAGTGAAGAGAGACACAGGCAAGCACGCGAGATGCGAGATGCGTGTGCAGGGGAGACGCGAGCTTAGTTTATTCCCTACCCCACCCCACCCCCAGGCCTCGGCAGGAGGCGGTGGGAACCGAGCCGTCTCTGCGGGAGAGTGCACCCAGCCTGCTGCCGACAGTCGTAACTAGGAGAGACGGGAATGGAACCTTCTAGAACCGTGTGTGTATAACAGCAGGGGCGAGTGTTCACGATAATAGCCACATAAAGCTGTGCTGAGTCTCCAAAAATAAGTAAATAAACCGGGAAAACACGATAGACTGACACTGAGCACATCACTGAGATCAGATCATTTATTTCGACGCGATTCCTCACCTCAAACGGTCTCTGTTGTAATCTGAATTTTAAGGCTAATAAAAATAAGCAAGCCGCTATTAAAAATGGTTACATAGCCCGTCAGATAATATTGCCATGGCCGTGCCTCCAAAAAGTAGCATTCAAGTTTATATCCTAAATAAGTTAGAAGGAATTATGGTGGCCTTTTTTTTTCTTTTTTTGGCTTTTTGGGTCATACCTGGCAATGCACAGAGGTTACTCCTGGCTTTGCACGTAAGAATCACTCCTGGCGTTGCCCAGGGAACCATATGGGATGCTGGGAATCGAACCCGGGTTGGCCCCGTGCAAGGCAAACACCCTACCCGATGTGCTATTGCTCCAGCCCCACGTGGCCTTTTTAAAAAAAAAAAAAAGATGTTTAAAGTTGAAATACAACTTTATTCTGATTCTGATTCTAAACAAAAAGGAATGGGAATGACAGGTTTTTTTTTTTTAGGTAGAATTATGATGTCTTTTTAAAATTTTTTTTATTTTTAAATTTTTATTAGTGAAACACCATGAGGTACAGTTGTAGACTTACAAATTTGAATTATAATGTCTTAAGAAAAATTTTTTTTCACTTAAGTGATTAAGTGAACTTGGATTGGGAATCTTTGACAGAAAGCAATAGAATGTTCTGCGCCCCCCCCCCAAAAAAAAAACACCTTAAGCAATGCAATTTCCTATCTCAGTCGGTGACCCCAGAGGCAGACAGTTCTGAGGGGTCACCATGCAGCCAGTCAGTGGCTCGAGTCCTTTCCCTCGTCCATGCTCAGGAATCAGGCTTCATGCCACAGCATTGCTGCCACGGCACCAGACATCACATCTTCAGTCTGCCACAAATAAAAGCAGAAAGGGAAGTTTGCCTGTCAGTGTCCGTGGGGCGGGGGTGGGAGGATAGATTTTGGAAGGCCTTCGGAGGCATCACTTACTCTCCTTGGCAGGCTTTGTCCCAAGCCCGTGTCTCAGTTCGCCACTGGTAAGGGAGAGGGAGCTCTCTCACTGGCTTCGGAGGGACCAGCTTTCACCCCTCCCAGCACAGACGGGAGGGTGTGAGGGAAGGGGAGGATGTGAGGGACTAGGCTGTGGTCCCAGCCCCTGTGCTGTGTCCCGACTCTCCTCTCCTGCCCCAGGGACCACAGCGCTAGGGTTTCTCTGATCTCAGCAAACAGCACAGCAAACTGTGGGATGTCACTTCCCGTGGCATGTCAGCTCGTAGCAGACATCAGCCGTGATTTTGAGCCTTCAGAAACATACCAGAGAAGTTAGACAGCGTTGTGCCACTTAGAAACTGCATTGTGTTTGGGTCAACAAATCTTCCAGCACCTACTTTGCTCGAGGAAACTTGGGTTTCTTTAGACCCTGTGCCAGCATCCAAGGAGCCGAGCTGGTTTGATGTCCCCCAGGGCCTGTCAGAAGTTGTCCCCGCCGCACCCCGGAGGGACAGCCCCAGGACTCGGGCTCTGCTGCCCTGTTCCAGTGGAGAAACGCCGGCTTTTATTTTTGTAACTTGCTTATATTTTTTTATTGTTCCACGATGTTCTAGGCTTTAGGGAGTTGATTTCGTGCTGTATTCCACGTCTTCGTTGTTGTTGTTTTAGCAGAAAACCTATACTTTTATTTACTTATTTTTGAATTTTTATTCGTGAAACACCATGAGGTACAGTTGTAGACTTACAAACTTTTGTGCTTAGGTTTCAGTGATACAAGGATCGAGTACCCATGCCTCCACCAGTGCCCATTCTCCACCCAGTGGTGCTCGGGGCTTACTCTTGGCCCTGCACCTCAGGAATTACTCCGGGCAGTGTCTGGGGAACCGTGGGGGGGGGGGCAGGGATGGAACCTGAGTTTGCCACGTGCAAAGCCAGCGGCCAACCCGCTGTGTTCTATCTCTCTGGCCCATCGAGCTGTATTTTTATTTCTTTAAAGGAGTTCTACGGGGGCGGAGAGGCAATAGAGGGGGTCATGGGACTGACTGGGCGTCCGTCCGTGGTACCTCATAGGGTTCCCCAAGCACCGCCAGGAGTGATTCCTGAGCACAGAGCCAGGAGTAAACCTCGAGCATCACTAGGGGTGGCCCAAACACTAAAAAGAATGCAGAGGGCCACATCGAGGCTAACTGGGCCATTCAGCTGCATGGTGCTGAGGAAGCCCCAGGCCCAAGGTCTCGAGCAGGAGATGGGTCAGGGCTGGGTCTGTGCCTTGCACTCAGGGGCCTGAGTTCTACCCCCAGCCCTGAACCAGCCCCGGGCATCACCGGGGCAGCCCCCAAACCAACCAAATAAAACACCTCCAGTGAAACTCTGCCGCTGCGGCCCTGCTGGTGAGAATGTGCCCACCTAGGCCCAGGGACTCCCCCCCCAGGCTGCTTTGTCCCCACCCCCCCGCCCATCAGGGAGGAGAAGGAGCTTCCGGTGGCCTCATGCTGCAGGGAGAGAAGGCGCTTCCTGGGTCCCTGTTGCACGCTGGACCTGTCCTAGGCAAACCGTCTTTGTTTCAGAACCAGACTGAGCCAGGGCTCAGGACCCCGTGTCTGTCCCCCAGAGCACCACACAGCCGCCTCCCCCCTAAAACCTGAACCCCAGATGCTTTATGAGATTCGTTCCCCTGGGCCTTCCCTTCCTGGGGAGGATCCTCTGTGGCAGGAGGCAGACAAGACCCTCCCCCAGCTGACCTGGCACTGGTGGGGGGCACCTCCCCTCGCCAGAGCTCCCCACCTCTCACCCCTGCAGGCAGGACTCCAGGGGGGCTGGTCCCTGCCGGTTGATGCCTTGGTGCCGATTCCACTGCACCCCAAAATCTCCTGGGAGATCCCGGCTAGCTTCATCCCTACGATAGCCGTGGGCCAGTGCAGGAGAGGAAAGGGGACCCCAAAGGCGGAGGGGACAGTTCCCCCTTTCACTGCTGAGTGAGTGGCTCTGACTGCCAGCGGCCACGGTCGGGGCTGCGAGCAGCTCCTGGAGGGAAAGTGAGATTCCTGGGGCCTGTGGGGACACAGCGCTGACCACATAGCACTGACCACCCGGCGCTGACCACACGGCAAGGCCTGCATTGGGTCTGCCAGCATGGGGGAGGAAAGCCTAGATGCATGTGTGTGTGTGTGTGTGCGTGCATGCCTGTGTGTATAGAAGTGCGTGTGCATGCGTGTGTGACTGTGCATTTGTGTGTGTTCATGTGTGTATGTTTGTGTGTATGCTTGTGTGCGTACGTGTGTGTGCATGTGTGCGTATTTGTGTGTGCATATTTGTGCCTGTGTGTGCATGTGCATGTGTTTGTGTGTATGTGTATGTGCGTGTGTATGTGCATGTGTGTACGTTTGTGTGTATGCTTGTGTGCGTACATGTGTGTGTGTTTGTGTGTGCATATTTGTGCCTGTGTGTGCCTGTGTGTGCATGTGCGTGTGTTTGTGTTTGTGTGTATATGTGTGTGTGCGTGTGTGTACATGGGTGTGTGCGCATGTGTGTACGTTTGTGTGTATGCTTGTGTACGTACATGTGTGTGTTTGTGTGTGCATGTGTGCGCATTTGTGTGTGCATATTTGTGCCTTGTGTGCATGTGCAAGTGTTTGTGTGTATGTGTGTGTGCGTGTGTGCATGTGTGTACGTTTGTGTGTATGCTTGTGTGCGTACATGTGTGTGTGTTTGTGTGTGCATATTTGTGCCTGTGTGTGCCTGTGTGTGCATGTGCGTGTGTTTGTGTTTGTGTGTATATGTGTGTGCATGTGTGTACATGTGTGTGTGCGCTTGTGTGTATGCTTGTGTGCGTACATGTGTGTGTGTTTGTGTGTGCATATTTGTGCCTGTGTGTGCCTGTGTGTGCATGTGCGTGTGTTTATGTTTGTGTGTGTATGTGTGTGTGCGTGTGTGTACATGTGTGTGTGCACATGTGTACATTTGTGTGTATGCTTGTGTATGTACATGTGTGTGTTTGTGTGTGCATGCGTGCGCATTTGTGTGTGCATGTGTGTGCATGTGTGTGCATGTGTGTGCATGTGTGTGTATGTGTGTGCATGTGTGTGTATGTGTGTGCATGTGTGCGTGTTTGTGCATGTGTGCCTGCGTGTGTGTGTGCGCGTGTGTGGATAGTGGACCTTTTCGGGGTATCTCCGTCCGGTGGACGCATCCCGCCGACTGCCAGGGGAGCAGAGCCCCCACCCTGGCCCCGCCAAGCCCGGCCCGTGCGCTACGCTGCGGCCTCAGCTCCTCCCTGTGGCTCGCAGGGCTCCTGTACCAGGAATACCGCGACAAATCCACGCTCCAAGAAATCGAGACCAGGAGGAAGCAGGATGCTGAGATCGAAGCCGGGGACGACGGGTCCCCGGCCAGCGAGGAGGCCCCCGAAGAAGAGGAGGAGGAGGCCGAGGAGGAGGAGCCCGCCAGCACCCCGGAGAGGAAGACTTTGCCCCAGATCTGCCTCCTCAGTAACCCACACTCCAGGTTCAACCTCTGGCAGGACCTCCCCGAGATCCGGAGCAGCGGGGTGTTGGACATCCTCCAGCCCGAGGAGATCAAGCTGCAGGAGGTAGCGGGGCCATGGGGGGAGGGTCCCCATCCAGGGGCTGCGTCTGGGCCGTGGGGGAGGCTCCTGGCCGCGTGTGTCTGTCCAGAGCAAGCAGGGGAGTCCGGGCTGGGAACCCGTGCAGCGAGCAGCCTCTGTCTGCCCGGCTGTGGGTCCGTCCGTGGCGGTGGCGCCAAGCTACACACGCGGGCCGCCAGGGCCGTTGCTGCAAGCTGGGACCGCCGCCCTGAGCTGCGTTTGCTCTCGGTCTCACCCCACACCCCTGTCTCAGCGCCCCTCAAGTGCGAGGTGAGCAGAGGCTGGGGAGGAAGCTGGGGGTGTCTGTGACAACGGGGACTTTGACCCTGGTTGGCTGCTTCTGTGACCCCCAGGCTGGCGGCTGGCATCAAGAAAGGCCCCATGAGAAATGAGCGGGGCCAAGGAAAAACAGCCGCCACGAGCATCGCCGCCTGCATTTTTCTTGAATCGAGATTATTCGGGGAGACGAGTGGGGTCAGTGGTGGAGAGAGAATGTGGGGGAGGAATGGTTGCAGGGAGCAAGTGAGGGCTCCTGGGAAACTTAAAAAAAAAAAAAGAAAGAGGGCCCAGGGCGGTGCTGGGGGGTAGGCGCAGGCCATGAGGTGGCGTCTGGTCCCCGGCAGCTCCCTGGGTGCAAACCTGGGGCAGCCTTGAGCTCCTCTGCTGTGGCAGGTGACGCCTGGGCCACATTCCAAACCTGGCATTGAATGCCAGCCTACTTGGCCAAGCTAGTGGGGGGTCAGCCAGTCTCCTGAGTCCTCTCCTGGGGACCGCTGGGAATCCTCCCCCCAAAAAACAGTGGGTGGGGCTGGAGCAATAGCACAACAGAGAGGGCATTTGCCTTGCAAGCAGCTAACCCAGGTTCAATTCCCAGCATCCTATATGCTCCCCGAGCACTGCCAGGAGTAATTCCTGAGTGCAGAGCCAGGAAGAGCCACTGTGCATCGCCTGGTGTGGCCCAAAAAGAAAAAAAATGTGGGCTCAGGGACAGACCAGAGTGCAGGGCTGAGGCGCCTGCCATGCACGTGGCCGCCCAGGTTTGATCTCTGGCGGTGCGAGGGCCTGAGCAGCTCCACGTGGCTGAGCCCCGGCGCCGACCCACCCCACAGAATGGCCAAGGAAGGGCCCCTGGTGATTCTGCGGTCATGGGCTCCTGGCCCACCGGGCCCAGGCTTGCTGGGAGTAGCCCCCACTCTCCTGAGCACTCTTCGGGAGCCCTCCCAAATGAAAATAAAAGGCTTAAGCACCTCAGGGTTGGAGCAGTAGTACAGCGGGTAGGGCGTTTGTCTTGCACACGGCTGACTCGGGTTCAATTCCCAGCATCCCATATGGTCCTCTGAGGACCTCCAGGAGTAATTCCTGAGTGCATGAGCCAGGAGGAACCCCTGTGCATCCCCCCCCCAAAAAGGCTAAAACACCTCCACTGACAGCCAGAGACCCTCCAGCTGACGAGGGTCCTAGCCCCGCTCTGCTACCGGAACGGCCATCGGGGCAAGGAAGCTTACCTAGGGGACCAGTGCTGCCAGCTCGTCTCGTGAAAGGTTTTGCTTTATTATGAAATGTTTTGCAGTTAAACGAGCGACTCATTAACACGTTGTCAACGCTCTGCAAAGCTGCGAGCCTGGGGCCAGGGGGAGAGCGCGGAGGAGCTCGTGCACGCGGGCATGTGTGAAGCGCTCGTGTGCCCAGTACCGCCTGCCCTGGCCCCGACCTCCCAGGCGTGGCGCTGGGGGCCTGTGTTCTGATCAGGCACCTCCGGCAGCGGCCTGGGCCCGGCACCGCTGCAGGAGCCCCTGTAAGTGAAATCAGTCCATCGAGGCAGCGCTCCTCGGGGTCAGGCTGCCTGGATCCCGAGTTCTCACGGGCTGCCCCAAGCCGAGCGGCACTGTGGAGTTCAGGGTGTACCCGTGGCTCAGGGTGTACCGTACATGGCTCAGGGTGTACCCATGGGCTCAGGCTGTACCCAAGACGCAGGGTAAACCTGTGATTACAGATTGTACTTGTGGCTCAGGGTGTACCCGTGGCTCAGGGTGTACTTGTGGCTCAGGGTGTACCGTAAATGGCTCAGGGTGTACCAGTGAGCTCAGGCTGACCCATGGCTCAGGGTGTACCAGTGAGCTTAGGCAGTACCTGTGGCTCAGGGTGTACCCGTGGGCTCAGGCTGTACGCGTGGGCTCAGAGTTTACCCGTGGCTCAGAGCCTACCGTACATGGCTCAGGGTGTACCCATGGGTTTAGGCTGACGCGTGGCTCAGGGTGTACCCATGGCTCAGGGTGTACTGTACATGATTCAGGCTGACCTGTGGCTCAGGGTGTATCCGTGGGCTCAGGCTGTACGCATGGGCTCAGAGTTTACCCGTGGCTCAGGGCCTACCATACATGGCTCAGGGTGTACCCATGGGTTCAGGCTGATGAGTGGCTCAGGGTGTACCCGTGGCTAAGAGTGTACTTGTGGCTCAGGGTGTACTGTGCATGATTCAGGCTGACCTGTGGCTCAGGGTGTACCCATGGGATCAGGCTGACCGTAGCTCAGGGTGTACCCGTAGCTAAGGGTGTACTTGTGGCTCAGGGTGTACCCATGGGCTCAGGCTATACCCATGGCTCAGCGTCTCCCCGTGGACTCAGGCTGTACCTGTGGGTTAAGGGTGTACCTGGGGCTCAGGGTGTGCCCCTGGAGCTCAGGGCTGTACCCGTGGCTCAGGCTGTACCCGTGGCTCAGGCTATGCCCATAGGCTTAGGCTGTCCCTGTTTGAGACCACCCAGGGGCTCCAGGTGTGGGGAGGTGCCGCGGGGCTCCTGGGTGCTGGTCCCCATGCAGCCTGGCAGGGATCACGGCCGCTGAGCTGGGAGGGTGTCACCTGTCAGGGCACTGGTGTGTCCCTCTGGGTGCCACCCTACAGAGGGCATGGGATGGCTGTGGGGGCAGCATCTCAGAATGGCCCAGCCGTTCGCAGCATCACGAGAGGGTCACGTGAGGGCCATGTAAGGGTTATGTGAGGGTCACGCAGCCCCTTTCTGCTCTTCCCCAAGTGCCCCTGGCCGTCAGTCATGTCTGACCCGGCCGCCTGGCACATCGGGCTGCCCGTGCCTTGGAAGGGCCCCTGTCCTCTGCGCGGTAGCTGTTGTCTGCCTTCCCTACTGACGGTTGGCAGGCCTGGGTATTTCTCCCTCCCTCTTCCTCTCAGCTCTTTCTTGGGCGGTGGAGTGTGGGAGAAGCTCGCAGACTTGAGGTCCGGGGGTCACCTGGTTAAGCAACATGAGGGTGGCAGGGCTGGCCACCTGTGCTAAGATTGGGCAGTGCAGAGACCAGCATTGGGAACTCCATGCTAAGAGGGCAGGTGGAATCCAGAGTTCCTGAGCTCGCCTGGCATGCAAAGGCAGGAGCAGGGTTTGAATCCCCGGCACCAAGAGCTCCCCTGAGCACCACCAGGGGGTCACTCCTGAGCACAGAGGTAGGGATGGTGCCTGAGCACTGCCCCGAGCGGCCCAGAGTACACCCCATCCCACACACACACACACACACACACACACACACAATACACACCAAATAACCACAAGCGTCAACACTGTTATAAGCATATGACCCTAAGTATAAGTAAAAAAAAAAACAAAAAAACAAGAGTTGCTCAGGAGACAGAGTGGGGGGAAAGGAAGGGAACTGGGGTTAGTTCTGGAAGGTGACGGACACTGGTGGTGAGTTAGGAGAGCAGCCCTGACTGCAGGAAACGGTTATTAAAAGCTTTGTAAACCATGGTGCCTGAATTAAACAGTTATTCAGACTGTTTTAGGGCCAAGGAAATGGCTCAGAGGGACGGTGAGCAGGCTTTGCATGCAGAAGAATGGGTTTAATTCCCAGCACTGCTCTGGTTCCCCCTACCCCACCCCTGCACTGCTGGGGGGGGGTCACCCATGGGTTATAGCCCCCCAAGAAAAACAAACAATGATTTTTTTTTATCTTAGGCCTGGAATATAGCTCAGAGGTAGGGCATGTGTTTTGCATGAATAAGCTTCTAGATTTGATTCCTGGCACCAAAAGAATAGATCAAATGGAATGAAAACCAAAAACCTACCTTAGTTCTGAAAAAAAAAAAACAGTCTTTTTCTTTATGGTCACCTAATCAGTGGATCCTGTATCTCATGATTGGGAGGGCCACAATGTCCCCATCAAGCACGCCGGTGCCAGCAAGAGCAGGGAGGGGGTTGCCACCGGTGGGGAGTGAGGTGACCCGTCTCAGATGACAGGGTCTGGGCGGTGCAGGAGGTCTGGAGGGAGATGCTCCCCTCTATGTCCATACCACAATTTGGGGGCCAACAGCCCGGGTCCTGCCCAGGATGGGCAGAGAAAAAACCCCAAGCCTGGAAGATGTGATACGCAGAGGCAGCACAGAAAGCACTCATAGAATCATTTTCATGTCACATGCCAGCATAATGTTGGAGATATACTGATTCAATAAAGCATGTGATAAATCCAGCCCAGGGCTGGAGCGATAGCACAGCGGGCAGAGTGTTTCCCTGGCGTGCGGCTGAACCAGGTCCAGTCCTCAGCACCCCATATGGTCCCCCGAGCATCTCAGGTGTGACCCCAAAACCAAAAAATAAATAAGAATCCCCCATTTTATTCCATCTCCAGGGGGGCATGGCTGGCACTCCAGATTACCGCGTAAAAAGCGCATTCTCTGACGCTCTGGGTCAACTCCCGAGCCCTTTAATAACTCATACTATGGTCAGAGAAAAGCCACGTGTATATGAAACTCACACTATAATTTCTATTTGACAGTGTGGTTCAGAAGGGGCAGTATTTTATTTTCCTGTGCCCATAATTATTGCCACCAAAAATTGGTGACACTAAGCTATAACAAAAAAATAAGATACAGATATTAAAATTGAATTTTAATGGTTTCTCACTCTAAGGCAGTGAAACACGGAAATAAAGTTAACCAATGTGAACTCCCCCAGTTGGAAACGTTCAGAATGCTCCTAACCTTT